GATATAGATAGGGAGCCTACAGTCAGCAATCAGTTCTGAAACTGACTGGGTGCTAGGACCAGTCACATGAAATAAACTCTCTTGCTAGGGACAGAAGTTACACAAAAACTGGTTTAAGCGATCAGAAACCGGTTTAAACCTGTAACAGAACAGCAATTCAGTGCACATAAACCATTTTTCAAAATGGCTGAAATTGGTTTAGGATAAACCTGGTTGAATGTAGCATCAGACTTAACTGATTTAGGTCAAACCAGTTTACGGAAGTTCTCTCCCAGACCCCTTCCTTGTTTAACTTAACTCGCAATTCCCCAGTATTCCAGCATGCTTTGCAGCCCTGGGATGGGCTGTGGGGGCAGGGTTGGCCCCACCCCTCTCCTCCCTAGTCAGAGCACTGTCACTGCACTGGCTGGCTGAGAAGGGGGTGCGGTGGGATGAGTGGGGGGATGTAGCCAGACACCAGACCCAGGGCTGAGATGAAGGGGTGAGGGAGGGGCCTGGCTGGTGTTGCTGTGGGCAGAAGCAGAGGGGAGGCAGGCAGGGGGAGTGATGCCCCTGGAGGGGTCCCAGCGCTGTCCCCTCTGTGACACAGAAATGGGGAGAACGTGGGGCATTCAGAGGTGGGTGCTGGACCTGGGGGCACCTGCCAAGCAGCTTCTCCTGTTGGGGCCATGTCTGGGTCCAGGCCCAGCACGGCAGGTATCCTTGAGGGAGAGAAAGGTGGTGGCACTGATCGGGGGACAAGCAGAGTTCCCCAGCCCCCTCTCCCGACTCCACTTGAGTCACTCTCACCCACCTCTGGGGAACCACAGCTGCTGCTGGGGAAGTTGCCAGTGTTTGCCCGCAGAGTTACCGGGTGCTTCAGCTGCCTGATTGCAGTCTCCTCTTTCACATGACCCAGTCAGGGTGGCCTGGCAGCCAGGCCAGCTGCTGTGAGCAGTGGTGGGGCTCAGTGGGCAGCAGCAGTGTCAGGTCCCCCAGGAGGACCCAGCTGGCCCATGTGGCACCTATGCCAGCATGCACCTGGCTGCCTGGCAGCTCTGCTGCTGCCGCGGGGCTGCCCCAGCCGAGCAGCGTGCCCGGACACAGCACCTGGAGCAGCAACATGGGGCCCAAGGGCAGCAGCCAGGGCAGTGCAAGCAGGGAAGTGGCCCTGGGGTTTCCCTGGGCTGGGCCTGGCTGGGGCCACTTCCCTGCTTGCATTGCCTTGGCTGCTGCCCTTGGCTCCTGCCTTCCCCTTCCCTGGGGATACCCGCCTCGTGCCAGGCCTGTGTCTGGGCATGGTTCCAGCAGGAAGAGAAGCTGCTTAGTAGGTGCCCCCGGGTCCTGTGCCCGCTTCCCAATGTCCCGCGTGCTCCCCATTGTTGTGTCACAGAGATCAGGCAGCCACTGCCCCCATGCCACGCACCCTCAGAGACAGCAGTCCAGTGGCAAAGAGTCCCTGCCTCCTTCCTGGGTGTCCAGGGTGTGGGTTGGGCCCCTTTTGCTCCCTCTGGCCCCTTAAAATACACAGCGGGGGGAGGGCCTGAGGGGAAGGGCCCCGACCCCTGCTTATGGCTGCGGGAAGCCTACGGGGAAGGGAAGGCAGAGAGATCCCGTGCTGTACAGCAGCGGGCCCTGCTTCACTTTATGTGTCTGAGACCCCCAGCTTCATGCAGCTCCTCATACATGTCCCAGCATGGAGGTGACTGTCCCGGCAGGGAAACAGGCCCTGGGCCTTTGCCCTTCTTCTTTCTGCAGGAGGGCCTGAAATGCTCCTTTCTTGAGCAGCGCAGGGGGTTCCTCTCTGGATCAGGTCATGGAGGGGCTGGGAGGGACCTGCAGGGATCACGTGTAACCCAGCCCCTGCCTGAGGGTCCTGACCATCCTGTGCACGCCCATACTCCAAACTCTACATAAGATGATCGGCAGCCCTGACACAAGGCTCCCTGCCTCAGCTGCAGAGTGGAGAGTGGGGCTGGGAAAAGCTAGGCAGACCCCAGCTGGGGACCCTGCAGGCCAGGGTGGGGGTTTAAACCCCTCCCCAATCATGCTCAGCTTCCTTCCAACCTCGCAGCTGCTGCAAAAGGGAAGGGAGGGCTCAATCTGGTGCCCCTTGCCTTTTAGCCTGGGCTACTGCAGGCATGTGGCTGCACTTCCAGAATCAAAAGTGAATGTCTGTTCACTTGCTTCCTAGTTCAAGCTATGCAGGTTAGACTGATCTGCAAACATTGAATTGATTCAGCCTTGAGCTTTTTAAATGTCTGTACTTAGCCTCTGAGGAGAGAAGGACGTAGGTTTTTCCTTCAATCTGTTAGTTGTAGGCATCCTACTGGGTAATGGGACATTTGAAGATATTTCACAAGCAGGGGCTGATTGTCAAGTTGATGTTTTCAAATAAGCTGCAAGCTTATTATTTATTAACTTACTGAACAGTGGCAGTTTCTGTCATGCCACCATGTGGCAATCGCACACAGACAAAAGATGAATATCAGCTAATTGTATATATAGGAGAGAGTGTGCAATGATTTTATGCAAAGTGCTGTCAAATGCATAAAGCAAATAAACTAAGAAAACAGAGACATTAGCAATAACCTTTACAATTATTTGTACCAATAAAAGGTGTGAAAACAATTCAGACAGAAGTGGCTTTTTAATGAGGGTGCTGACAGCAATTGAAGTGTGTCAGCATTTAGAAAATGTGATTAATTACCTCCTTTTTTGATATATTATTAATACCAGCTTAAAACATTCAAAATTAAAATATTAAAAATCCTGTGCACTTGTCAGTTATGGTGACTGAAATCCTGGTAGCACTGAAATCAATAGAAACTTACTGTTGACTCTTACTAGAGATTTATTATCTTTTTGCTTATCTTCTGTATTTATTTTCACTTCGCAAGTTATACTTTCTGGTTGTTTCACTATTTAGGTTTCATTCACTTTAGGGGAAAGTTCTTAAAATCAGTGGTTTACACTGGAATCTTTAAAAATTGTGATGTGTTTTTGTTGATGATGATGATGATCTGAGCTCTAAAGGCTTGATGGGTACAGTTAATTTTTGGGTTGATTTTAAATTGATGTTGTTTCTTTTAAACAGAACCAGTCTTCATTATGCAGCATGGTAACATGTGGATGAGCTGATACAGTGCTCTCTAGCCCCTTTGCATGAATGCCCTTACCAGTATGTGTTGGTACAGAACGAGCCTGGCTTTCTTAAGGAAAAGAGAAATTGGCTGTTTTGTTGCCTGGAACACATGACTTGAATGGTAAACAAGGGACATTCTTCTTTTCTGCTCTTTACCAAGACCTACTAGGCTTAATGGCTAATTGGATGCTTGATGTAATCAGGAGATCCAATTCCCTCATTTGGGACATGGACCGTTTTACCAGTGTGTTGCAGGAAATCTTGCTGCTGATTTATGGTTGGAAAACCTTGATCAGCAAAGTGGAGGAGAAGAGGTGCAAGCTGACCTTGTGTTGGGTACAAAGCTGGAGTCGTTGCTTTTGCAGGCACGCATTCAAACTGCACACCACAGGCTGCCTTTCAAAGCACTACTTCTCCAGGGCAGTGCTGTCCAGAAGAGGCCAGTGGGCTGGCCCAGGAGAGAATTTTTGTGCTGTTGGGGAGGATTTGGGGTAGGAGCAGTTGGTGTTGATGAGCAGGTGACGAGTATCGTTTGGGAGTGGAGAGCAGAGAACCTGGAAGGAAGGAGAGTGAGGCTTGCAACTTCCACAGGTGGTAACGATATGTGGTTACTCGAATTAAATACTGAACAGTTGTTTAATTTTGTGCATGTGGCCACACAAACCTTTGAGGAAGCAAACATGATTAGGAAGGGGGTAGCCCAGTTCCCAGTGAGGTTGCCTTTGCCTTGTGGGGAGAGGGGAGGACTGCTTAGCCTCCTGATCTGATGAAGTGCTTGCCTATGAGTAGCTCTAGAGCAGTACCAGACAGTTCAGGGTGGTGTTAGGGATGGAAAACTTTGCTTGACCTGTTTTATTTGTTTCTGGCTGCTGGAAAGCTTGAAGAGAGGGCTGTGGATTTAAATAGAGCAGTGATTTCATTCTGGAGGCTGCACGCTTTTCAATGTGGGAAGCATTTATCTCTTAAGTCATTTCACTCCCTTCTGAGTCTCAGAGGCAGGTACTGACCATATGTCAATGTTGCATAGAAGAGGTGACACTGAACAATATAACGAGGACACAAATCTGCCCTAGGCTCCTAGATGAAGGGGCGCTTATTGGTCCAGCGGGTTCTGTCTTATCGGTGTACGTATTACATTCATGAAAGGAGGTTCTAGTTTAATAATCCATTCTGCATGAAGTAGACCTATTTCTAAGCCTACAGGGGAATGAGATATGACCTCCATCAACTGTCACCATGGTAACTGTACAAATAACTGTAGTTCTCATTATTTTGCTCAGCTTTAGAGAAAGGTATGGTGTAGTCTAGCAGCCTGTGTGTGTCTTTCAGATGAGATTTTAAAAAGCAAGGTCTTACCTCTCTGTGCTGTCTTGTCTCCTATGGTGCTTTTGTGGTGCTCAGTGCAGCAGTTTTGTTCATGTTCAAGTTATAGATTGACCCAGACAATTCATCAGTGTTATTTGAAAAAATTAAGCAACTGCTTAACTGGAGGCTTGGGATTTTGACCTCAAGTCTCTGGTTCTTTTTCATTGGTGTCTTTTTCTGCCCATGTTGACCTGTGGGCTTCTGTTATCTACTCAGAGAGAGTTGTAGTTCAGTGATGCTCTACATTTGGCCTTGACCTTGCAAACAAGGATGCAGGTAACTCCGTGCACACAAGCTGCCCTGTGCATATTAGTGGCACAAACAAGTGTTGACAGAATTAGAGCCATCATTTGGAAAGCATATGGGGAAACATCCACAACAGATAAGGCAATGCCAGTGTAGTTTCTTGTCCTGTGCGACTGTCCTTCTACTCTGTTTTATGCTTTTTTTTTTTTTTTTTTTAACAGCACTGAGAGAGAGTAAACTTTCTTTTTCTTTTCTCTGCTTTCAGTGTCAAACCAAGTTCCCGGTCCCCTGAGGCAGCTGAAGATGAGAAGGATCAGCGTACGGTAACAATCAACCCCTCTCACATGAAAAAGGCATTCAGGGTTATGAATGAATTACGGAGGTACTCTTTTCACTTAGCATACATCATCTCTGGTTTATCAGAAATGAGCTGAACAGAACTGCAAGATGTTTGGGGGACTTTAAAAAAAATGATTTGTGACATCTTCAGTGCATAACACATGGGTTATTAACAAAGCAGTGGGAAGAGCCGGCCAAAGGATAGCTTTGCTTTTTCCACCCACACACATGCCTACCTTTTTGTCCAAAAAGAAGCTGGCTGCGTCATGTACACATTCTGAGCAACATCCTGCATTTATAAAAAGTGATTTAAAGTT